CCGAATCTTCATGCGTGAAACTTTGTGTGCTATTTCCAGTGATCACAACTGACATATTCATGTTAGGAAAGAGTGCAAGAATTTTCCGCGCAAGATTCCTTTAAAGAAGTACAGAACGATGGGGATCCACTCAAGCTTAGCGAAATGCGTTGCCAGCATGTGTTCCCCTTGTAGAATGACGCTTTGACGGCTGGTGTATCTTGAACAGGTTTTCAGACTTATATTATCAGGAGGGGGGGGGGGCAATAAAAACATCTTGTCACCACATTCTAGTGGATTTATTTATACTTTTAAAATACAAGCCGAATCATCTGGGAATTGAAGAAAAAACTTCAAAGTGGCCTTCTATGTGGACGGCATCGGAAAAAGTTGCCCCGGAAACATGGTTCATTGGTCGAACTCAATGGGGTCTCGACGAGCCGTATACCATTACGTTTCTGAAAAGTGGGTTTTGAGGAGGGGGGGGGGACGTTGCATAGTCAGAGCCAACATTTCTAGGAAACTGCATAGTCAGAGCCAACCTTTCTAGGAAACTATCAACAGTGAATCGATTCAAGAAATTGTGTAAGAGCTTCAGGCTGGAGCGTTACGGTAGGCCTCCCTGAGCTCGACGACGATGACAGATGACGTCATATTCTGAAGACGGTGAGGGCAGTGAAGGAGAGCGCATCTATCAATAGAGGGAGAGATGTTTTGCTCAAGAACTTCCGCCAACGAAGACAATACCTGCAACGAAAAAAAATATGTTGAACTGCGACGTTTGCGAAATGTCCCTGTTTTGCCCCAACCCCTCCATCCCCCCCCCCTTCTGTAGAATGAGTGCAAAAACAGATGCACTTGAACATGTTTTCATTCCTACCATAAAATTTCAATAAAATTGAATAAAACAAGGAGAGGGCAGCATAACAAGTTCCTGCCTTCCTTTTTGCTTTTCTCTACAGAAACAACCAATATGCAGTGTTCATTACTTTCCACAGAAACGCCACGCATTGGACCGAACAGCGGATGCGATACAGGGTATTGGCGAAATTCACAAATTTGTCCGTAGAAGATAACTTTTTCGGTCACCTCCTTCAACAGAAAGTACATTTACATATTTATCTGTAGGAAGTTCTGCCACATCGCGGGGATAATTTTTGCACCGCTCTATCCCACCATTGAATCCTCAGGTCTTCGTTGAAGTGGTTATTCCCAAAATAAAATTTGTTTCGATGATTTCAGGGATTATCAAGATATCGTCCGTTTAAACCGTGTTGCATCACAGGGGAGGCCAAGAAATAGAGGCGGATAAACCGTTAGAGCAAAAACATTTCCAGCTTGACCCAATTGCGAACATTTTGATGAACCTCTTACGTGGGCGTCTCCAGGTAATATGAATAGCGGCCGTGCTCCAGTTCCTTCATAAAAGCAGTAATGTAATTTGTGCCGTCGTGATTTTGGGAGCAGTAAGAAGTCTTACACTGATTGAGCGATGTTAATCTGCTGAAGAACATCGTTCAAAGAATATAACAAGTTCAGACAATTGCTCATGATGTACAATGAAACTTGTGATATCATAGAACCGCATAGCTATGCCAGAGCTATAGAGAAAAATTTGAAAGGCTACAGTGGTGTAGTGATTCTTCGCTCCTATACTGGGCTAACCTATTGTTGTACAAGTTCGGCGGGGAAAGGGGGGTCATATCCCATTATAGTTTTTGTGCATTGATGTGTTGGTAATGGTGAGAAGGGTAAGGGGTTGTATGGAGGCGGTGGTGGTGGAAGCCCCCAAGGCTGTTGATGTAGTCGAAGCAGCGTCGAGGTCTCCTCTCGAGGGAGGGTAGGTCTCTTTAAAGTGCCTAGGCACCCATGCTCAGTAAGTACGATGTTCTGGATTGGCCCCGTTTGAGGTACCCACTTTGTCAATAACTAAACATTTTTGAAACTTATCCCTCGTCCGTGATACTCCATCATTACAACAAATCACCCGTCAATGGGACATTTTTCTATCAGTGAGACTTCTTTTCTTCTTCTTCACGATCATTACAGTCTAACATGTGATTATACATATTGATGCGTGTCGGCTGTTGTCTAAAACGTATTAATCATTGAAATATACTGGCCGCTCTTTGCAACATTACAACATCATCCGACGTGTTGGACGTCCTCTGACGAAATGTAAGAAGTCGCGGTAGGGGAAAAACGAATAACCTCGATTGACATTCCTTTCGTGTGCCCGATTTCGAGTAGAAATGAGAAAGGGGCATTCGTAGTGCAGTTTCTGGAGAAGAGGCACATTCTTGAGCTCAAATAATTATCGGTGAGATTTCTCACAACTTTTCCAATTCGGTTTCCTAAAGTGATTAATTGTGACTGTTTGAGGAGCAGGCCAACTTTAAGTTAAAAAATGTTGGCACATGTGAATGACAAGCTCAAAACCGTTTCCATTTCGACGCATTCACGCAGTGCTATTTTAGAATGCAGCTATACAATATCCTGATTGTATCCAATGCTGTTTCATTTTCCATTCAGTTGTTCATATCTGGGCGAAAGTGGTAAAATGGCAGGTGACCTGCTTACCTTCCGCATAGTAAAGGTATCCAAACTTCTACCGTATGCCGCTCAGTACTAGGCTCGTTTAGGAAGATAAAAACACCCAATTGTACATGAGCTGCTCCGCGCAACTCATTCTATTAGCCTATTCAAACTCAACTGTAGCTGATCCTATGAGAGTGGAATGTGCGGCGCGTTCTAGAAAGGACTGATCAACAGCGAATACGATCTTCTTCTTCTCTTCTCCCTAGCGTTAGTCCCGCGCACTCGCAGGCTCTGCTTAAAGCAACAGTCCAAGCAGGGTTTCAACCATTCGATCCTAAGGGGTGGAAACATGCACTAGCCCTAGTCAAGTACATAGGAAATGTCACTGATTTGAAAACTTACCTTTGAAAGGCGTTGGAAGGGGGTCTAACGCCTTCAAAAAGGGCGGATCCACCGAGCCTCGGTAGGGCCGCCCAATTCTGATTTAGATTTAGATTTAGATTTATTGCATGCGCATGAGCACATGGAATGGGTTAAGCAAACCATAAAACATTAGATAACACAACACAACACAACTGCGTCACAAAATCATCATAAAAAAGCGACAGAAAAAGAGCAAATAGAGAAGATGACCAATGCCCCAAAAAGATATGGTCAATAAAAAAGTAAAAAAAAATAACATAGCCCTAAGCGTAGTACTTGTGCATATTTTTCTTGAGCTGGGCTATACTGCTAGGCATCGAGCACTTTTTGCTGAATTTGGTGAACTCCGAAAAAGCCCGTACAGTGAAAAATTTTGTACGAACAGATGACCTGGCTCTGGGGAGAGAAAGTTTGAATTTTTCCCCTCTGGTAGTGGACGGCAGAAGGGTGAAGAGAGCTTGAGTGTCGACGGACACCTTCCCTGTGATAATTTTGAACGCTGTCAAAAGATCGAATTTCCTCCTCCTGCCCTGAAGAGTCTCAAGGCCAAGCATTTTATTCGTTAGAACACCTCTGGGTATAGCGTTATAGTTGAAACTTCTGTCGTGAAAAGTGCGTGATTGGCTGCGCAGACATTTGCGGTCGTTTCGGGACCACCGGGACTATTTGAGGTCGATCCTTTAAAGCAATCGATGTGGTGATGCCGACTACGCTGGATTTCTACGTTTTTTCCTTCTACCTTCTACCTTCAAAACATGAAACGATTTCATTATTGCGCCCAATTGCAATTGCTGGCAAGTAGCCAGCTATTGCAGCTATTGCAATTGGGGCGCATTTACTGCGGGCATGTTCAGACAACTCGTCCAACAGCGTCTTCCTCCATTGCTAAGTGGCAGAGGGGAGTCCCTGTCTAAGTCCCTGTTCGACGTTTTTTTTTTTCTTTCATTATTGGTCAACTTTCACCTACAACTTCATTATAGGTTATTTAAGCCCGCGAATTCGTTCTTGGATTGTTGCTTTAACACCGAATGAAAAATGCGATATGGTTTTTTTGTTCTCTGTAACAGCTTGTATTAAATAGGGCATATTTATCGAAGCGGTGAAGATTTTCGTTGTCAGTCTTTTTCTCCGGATGTGCCATACACATGTGTTTCATTCAGAATTCTAGTTGATTTCTCTAATTCCAATTTTCGGAAATCGATCCGCTTTATAGACAGTAGCCACCCAATTATGTCAAACATGTCTGAGGTCTTTGTAATGATTAGATTGCGCAATGTTATAAAGTGAGTACATATTTAGGTGACTGGCAACAATCATTTGCTCCAATCGCGCTATTGACACTTGATGTTCCGTTATAGAGATGTTTTTGAATTTGAGTGCTCCTAATGGAATACCCTAATTACCCGACTAAATATCTTTTCTCATATTAAAATAGTTCGAATAAAGCATTTGGCGTCTAATAATCCTTTTTTGAGATGCATACATACTATTTTCATTCAGTACCATGTTGACATTTGAATAATACTTGGTCACTGAGTTACGGTAGGTGCGATGTACGAGTCAATGTTTTTGTCCCTACAAATAAGTCTGTTGACTATTACCGCATCCCGGTCGGTTAAAACACTTGGACGGTTTGGGCGAGGCTCTCTGCTTGAGCTGACCTCTAAACCTTGTTCGTGGTAATGGCGCCACATGAAATGCGCCACGTCCTCCCATTCCACTATGCTCACGCCTAATTAATTTTTGATGGCCATGGATCTGCAGCAGAGTGCAAATTCTGTTCAGTGAGAATTGCAATTTTGCAAATATTGCAATTCTCACTGAGCCATCAATTTGTAATTTACTCTTTTTTACGCAAATTTATCCATGTATGCATGAAATCAACTATTATGTATGACGAGCACTCTGTATTCGTGCGCATATTGCATGCATAATTTCAAGATAAAAATATAAATAGCCCTTATTATTTTCGCTGCAGTTCTCTGGCAGTATTAGTCGCCGGGGAGTTCTGAAATAAGTTTCAGTCAACTAAGTGAAAAAAAAGGTATTTTTTTTTCAGTTTCGGCCGAACCGACATCGACGACGACGACATTATATTGCCGTTGCGGCAGTGTTGCGTGATTCGCCCTTCAACTCTCAGCACCTTGTTACGATTCTATGCTGAACCGCAATCACTCACTAAAACCCTTCACGCGTAAGTTCTTTTTCTGTTCTCAAATTTGGCATTGCTTGAGGAGGTTGGAACCAACTAAATAGAACTACTCTTATTAAGTTCACATAAAAAGTTTTGGTATTGTACCGTTCGAAACCCCTCAACCATTTGAAATTCATGCTGAGCAGAATGCAAGGAATTTGTGTTCAGAACATTTATTTCAGACGGCTTTATAGTGGCTTCACTGAGACCATATTTATTTTTTTAGATTCAAGGTAATATTATACTGTTTTCAAATAAATACATTGATCGAGAAATATTGATAGCCTGTCTGGCCTTTGAAGTCCCAATGTGGCATGTCAAATAGATGAATTGAGAAGACGATAGCGACCACGATTGTAGGTTTTGACCGAGGTATCTGGTGACGCATGGAAGATAGAACTAGGTAAATTGCTACGCAACAAGGCTAAGCCTCGCCACAAATGGGTGTCAACGTCCACTTTAATGAAGCTTCTAATTTTTAGTGATTGACTGAATTTGGGGAAGCAGAGGACCTCAAGCTCAGAAGTTCTGTATTCTAGCAGGGCAATTTGGAAAGAAAGTTTGACATTACAGAATAATATCTTTCCCATCTTTCCAGAGTAATTCACCTTTGAGGACTTCGGAACGGAACGTGCTTTCCACCAGACTCTTTATTACGCTTACCTGAATATCAGTAGGAGGATTCCTCATCTCTTCGATTTAACCCATTGCGGACCGCGTGCTGGAAACGGATAGCAATCTTCGATTTTTTCAGCATTTTGCTAAGTTACAAAATCAACAGTTTACTTTTTCAGACACAGGATATATCATATATTTGCGTACTGGTTAAATTTTCGATAGATTATTGGCCACTGATAAAAGAGATGACAAAAACCTACGGAGGTGCAATTATAACGGCGGTCCGCAATGGGTTAAGTGCAGTTTCTATATGAGAACTCAGTCATATACCCTCCCTTTCAAAAAACGAGAAGAGCGTCGGGTGCAGACCATACACCACAAGTGACGACGGCCTCCAAGAAGTTAGTAGTGGTTCATAGTGATAGCTGATTTTTGGTAAATGATAGTTGTAATTAGTGACAACTGATAGAATACAACTGCAACAGGCTAATCATTTCATTGGCAGAAAACATTTACATTTTGTGGAGGCCGTCGTCACTTGTGGTGTGGTCTGCACCCGACGCTCTTCTCGTTTTTTGAAAGAACATTGTATGAAATGCCTAGACAACCTATGCAGCAATTGAATCTTTTCAATTTTTAGGTGCTCAATAACATTACAGAGAAATTTCGCAGCGTAAAGGTCCGGTTGTGATCCATGGCGGTCATAGAAGTTCGCTATCATTTTTGGATCCTTTTTACTTTTTCAGGTCGTTATCCAAAGATCCGGTCGCGCCGATTTTGGCTTACAAGCACTACGTTGCCATAGAAAGACGATTAGGCAAATGTGAGTCATTCGCTCTAATAACTAACATACTGCTCGCCACGCGCTGGCGCAAAAGGCAATATGGAATCGAATTCCGTCCACGACAATACATTATGTTCATTTGGTATCTGACTCAAATGCGAGCGTCAAAGTAGTCCTTGAATTAAACCCGCAAAATTCCATGGGACAAATCTATGTTTCGTTCCACTCCTGCCTCAAACGGACTTACTCTTCGTCAGTCTTGAGAGCTCCTCGAAGTTCTGCTTTCTTCCCGGGTGTCCCCCAAGAGGCCCACCGCGCGGCGAAGGAAGAGACGCAGACGCGGCAAAGGACGAGTCGCAGCGCATACTGTAGCGGTTAGGCGTCAGGTTAAATAGAGTGTACCATACTACGTCTCATATCGCACAGCACGCGCTGCGACTCGTCCTTTGCCGCATCTGCGTCTCTTCCTTCGCCGCGCGATGGGCCTCTTGGGGGACACCTTTCCTTTCCTCACATACTCCTCTATCTGGTAACCTTCTTCTCTATAAGCTGTCACTTGAGCGGAAAATCTCGTATTTCGGAGCATATTAAGCGGAATTCAGAGCAAGCTCATTTCACTAATTCCAGTGATGTCCTTCTTATTGGAGTGCTTCAAGCAGAAACCCTTCGAGAAAATAGTGCTCACCGAATATCATAATAAAAAAGTGGCAGAGGGAAACGTCGAAGAAGAAGAGAAAAGCGAAGAAGACACCGGTGATAGGAAGGAAGAGAAGCGAACGCAATAGCGATTGAGTCCGGAGCTGTAGTAGGAGCCTTTTCAAAGCGACCCGGTCGTTCACTCGTTCGTTGGCAACATCTGCTAACACCACGTTTTCGCAACAGCGATGCAGCTATGCAGTTAACCGTCTATCCTTCATTACTCTTCAATTACCTACTCGTTCTATGCATTCATTAGCAAATAGTTGTGGCTGAACTTGAGAATCACTAGCCTTCTTCTTGAAAGCAAATCTAAAATCTTAGCGTTAACTTGAGGGTATCCTACACTTATTCATCAGGGATCGGGTACGTCTTACCTATGTGCACTTAGGATTTATCGCCGTTATGGTTTGGCCTTTTATGAGAACGGAATGAATGTGCATGAAAATGGTTGATTTTAGTGGTGCATTGTGTCATAGATTACGCAATTGTGCTATTGTTTTGTTATGTTTTTATTCTCCATGTTTTTGACTTTTTTGTCTACCGAGTGGGACCCCACGTGTTGCTGTTCATTTTGCGCCGGTGAATAGTTGCTTTCATCTTGCTTGCGTGTGTATATACATACATTTCTATATCAGATTGTTTCACGCCGTTCACAATGATGTGATGCTTGCTCAAATGTGATACGTTTGTTGAATTTTACAAGAGATAAATTTTCAGAGCTTTGTGAAGATTCGCCAATATTGGTACATTTATTGGGTGGTTCAGTGGTCACCTATTACTTGGTGACAAACAAAATATACATAAATAGTCGCAAGCTCAATTAAAGGTAAACCCCGGGATCAGCCCAATCAGTAGGAAGGATACCACGAGAAAACGTTTGGGGTACGTACCTTCATAGATCATGCCAGCTTCGTTGCCCAAATTGCGCGATTAGGGCGCTAATCCATTACGAACCTGCAACCATCGACCCCGTTGCAACGCTTCCCACCCACCGCTATTGATGTACTCTTGAACGGCGTGCTCTCTCGCGTGTTTTGATTTCTTTGATCGCCTGTGTCTCTCCATAGGGCACATCCCACGTTAGAGTAGGTTGAGGCCTTAATTTCAGCCTTTCCAATCATTTCTCTTGCTTCTCCTTTCCACTTTCACTTCATTCCACCAGTCAGTCATTACTAGTTATCGTTATTATGAAGAAGTCGGAAGAAGTCACTTTGAGGAACTCATTCATGAGCATTTCTCATTGCTAATCAGCCTGCGTGAAAATGTTTTCAAGACTGATCGAGGAGTGCGGCAGATGACCTCGACCACGGGTACGAAGTTTATTTTTATCATACTTACCCTCCCCTTCAAAAAGCGAGAAAGTGTCGGGTGCAGACCATACACCACAAGTGACGACGGCCTCCAAGTAAATCTGGTTAGTAGTGGTTCATAGTGATAGCTGATTTTTGGTAAATGATAGTTGTAATTAGTGACAACTGATAGAATACAACTGCAACAGGCTAATCATTTCATTGGCAGAAAACATTTACATTTTGTGGAGGCCGTCGTCACTTGTGGTGTATGGTCTGCACCCGACACTTTCTGGTTTTTTGAAGGGAGGGTATATCGTTGACGCTAAGCGGCAATGGCGCCGACAATGAAAATCATTCTCGTGGCCAAAGACCCGAGTCTAAGTATGTGCGTCAAGAATTTGATAGAATTGATAGGATGTGGGGCAGCCCTTCCCCGGGTGGCTTCACGACCGAATAGTCGATGTAATTTCAACAAACCATTCATTCCTCCTTATGGAATGAACTAGTGTTTTGCCGTAGTTGTGTTGTGACAATGGAACAGGGCGGAGACACCAGTGACAAGCTGTGCTTGTGTTTCAGTTGTTCGAAATGAATTCCTTTCTTGGGAAACCCTAATCTTCGCCAGCTTTAGAACGTAAAATGATTTATATCGGGTTGCCCATAATTCCTGTCCGATTTTTGATCAATTTCAAATTTCAAGTCCATTGCGAAATATGTTGGTATGTCAAAGAGTGCATCTAGACCGTTAGCCAGGACATTTTGGAAGGTCAAACCCGCATCGGAATAACTGAGTAGAAGTCGAAATAGATCAATGAGCAATAACGAACGATTATGCTTTATGATCCTCAAATAGACGCTGTTGCAAGGAGGACACTAGAGAAGATCAGCGCTGTGTTTGGCTCAGTCTCTGCTACTGATCGGTCACTGAGCTAGAGGGTCGCAATGGCAAAGACAATACGAGCTGTGAAAATCAGCCTCATCCTGGGCCTCCACTCACTTTCGATGAGGACCCTTGCGCCATGGATTGGAAGTGCACACGGACGCTACTACCAGGGTATTGTAGCAGACACCTGGGCGCAGCCGATGCACCAGCACACGCCATCAGGATGAAGTGGCGGCAGCAGAATGAAGACTTGATGGAAACCATATGCGCCGACCAGCCATGACCGAGAAGCAGGTCTGACCCTCTGGGGGAATTTCATTCTGTGACCTCATTAGCAGAGCGTTCCCTAGTTGATCACTAGTGGGGATGAGTCATGAGTTCACTACGACAACAACACGCAGCACGCCTGATGGCTACCTCGCAGCCAGGGCTCACCAGCTCAACAAAAGCCCAAACTCCGTGGTCAGAGAATATTGCTTTTGATTTGTTAGATTGAGTGGGTCTTCCGCTTTCACAGTTGTTTTGCTATATGCGGACAAGTATTGCGAATGCCATCGTGGAACAGCTCCCGGGGTTGGCCGCAGTAGTGGGAGAAACCGTCCTAAACGTCCCAAAATCCCCTTTCTCCGAATAGACGCTCGACCTCACATTGCAAAGATAACTCGCTACGTTCTGAGGGAAACTGGCTGGACCACGATACCATGTCCATCGTATAGCCCTGGCATCACTCCATCGGGCTATCCCCTTCACAGTGCCTTGAGGCAGCAGCGGCGAGAGAAAAAAGTCACTAAATACAACCACTCCAAAAACGACCTTGCTGAATTCTTCAGCTCATAGCTTCACCCATTCTAGGAGGAAAGCATCCAAAGGTTCCCTGGCGAATGGATGCATATCGTGATTATGATAATGGTTATATTTTTGATCAATTGGTTTTAGAGAAGATAAAACTCGATGAGAAGAAAGTGTCGAAATTCGGACAGGAATTATGGGACAACCCAACAAATCCAACTTTCCACACTTCACTATAATCCCATCCAACTTTCTAATTAGCATTTCAGAAGGTGGAGGAAAATCATGGTAACAAGAGCGTGCCGCTGGCAGTATTCAATTTATTAAACATCACGAATCTTTCGTGTATTTGTGTTATACATATATATCTATGTGTGTCTATGTGTTATATCTATGTGTATTGTGTTATCTACATATTTATCTTGATAAGTTAGTGTTTAAACTCCGTTTTAGTCATATCGATTGCGGGATGGATCATGCTTTGTCTCCTCCAGAAGCCATCGCTTATTTGCTCCGAGGACCTATTTGTGTTACATTTCAAGACGATTCAGAAGCTCCATAAAATTTCAGTGCTCAGAATGCTATCCACCACCTTCACAGGCCTGTACATAAAATGGCTACTTCTGTGACTCACGAGCAATTTCTCAAAAGCACTGGCTCGCAGCTTACCCAATCCACCGTTCAGTGGTTGAAATGCTATCGAGCGCACTTCTTTGCAAAGCGTTGCTTGCAGACACCTTAAAGGCAAGATTCAGGATTGAATTATGAGGTTAATTCCACTCAAATGTGAAAGTAGGGGTAGGTAGTGGACCGCCAGTGGAGAAAAAGAAAAAAAATCGTGAAATACACAGGAAATACGAGCCTTTTGCTCTACGCTGCGGAGAAGTTCAAAAGGCCGGCAGGGAGATGAGAGATAATGTGAGCGCGGAGAGCGTAGAGAAGTCCGAGTAGAGAGAGCATAGCAGATCAACATTGCGACGCAGACAAGATATCGAGCGGTGGGCGGAGCGTGTCGCAACAGGTGGAGCGTGTCAAAGTTCTTAGCGCCTAGCGTCTAAGTAACGCTTTTCGAAGTAGGGAAGTGACGCGACCTCTACACTTGCGTACCTAGCGCTTCTAGCCACCGTAAAGGCTCATTAAGTGGGTCTGAGCCCGAACTTTGCCTTTAACAGTATGGTTCAAAGCAAGATGTCTAAGTTTTGGCTGATGCGCGCAAACTGAATAGAAAGCCAAGGTGCTTATACATGGAGGTGGTCTCGATTACGTATTGAATTCTGCTGTTAGTCCACTCTTGAACAACAAGGACAACCGGAATAAAGCTTATGGAAAACCATGCAGCCAATCAGGGATGATTTTTGCCTGTCAAGGTATGGAAATGGATTTTAAGGATGATCTCGAACTCTCAGTCGGATTCATACCAAGAGGACCATCAACAGGAGACAAATGGCGCAAGAGCAAGATAGAGTCCCACGCTCTCGCAATGCCCAGATTGATAAAAAAATTGTTGTCAACAGGATATCTTAGTGGAGAGCTCCATAGCTCTCCCATTTCGAGAACAATGAAATTCGCTGTATTGAGTGACCGAAGACAAACCACTGCTACAAGCACAATCGAAACATCGCTTAGTTCAGAAGTCGCTCTTGAATGCCTTGAGCCTACTAAGCAACATTCACCCAACACAACAGGGATGATGATTTTCCAGAAGATCTTTGTTTACCTATCAACGCAGAAAGCGGTCACTCCAAAAAGGAATATTATTTCCTGTTTGACATTCTTTCAATAATATGGAGGTGTTATTGAGATGTTGCTTCTTGTCACACTGGTTTTTTATGAACAAGTCATTTCGTTGCCGTAATTGTTGCCGGCGCTCATCCGTTAAAGGGGGCATTGTGATGCAACGTCTAACAGCTGCCCTCACCCCCAACCAGGGTCAACCCTACGTTGTTACGAGTAACAACGGGGGGTCGTACTCAGTTGAGCTTGGAGGGGGGGTCGTACCCTCTCGGTGGCCGACAGTGGGATTCTTGGTAATATCGGATAATAGCCAGCACGTTACGTTTTCGTAAGATGACTGATACTAGAGCATCTATAAACCACGCTTCCCTCTAAATGAGCTTTCAAA